TCATTTGTTTTCTGTAAGCACTAGTCTCTGATCTGCTGGATAGCATGTTTATTGATGACCATCACATAATTTCATAATTATGTGAGGAGTTTAGAGGTGTTTTGCTGAATCTGAGAGCTGAATAAAATGAATAAGCTGAAATATCCTAAGACGCTCTGATTTAGACGGGAATAATCAAAGTTGGCTGTTTGATGGCTCTAAGTTTGTAATTGTAAAAACGTTTTAATTCTCTACTTTTCCTCAGCAATAAATATCCCCTTATTTTCCAGGCAAAACTGCAGCATGTAAAAATTTACCATCACCGAAATCTCTTGAAAGTCAGTTGTTAATGCTACTGACCAAACAGAAAGCACTTTAAAGAGGAGCTACAGTCTGATGCCTTAGAGAGCAAATTCTTTCTTCTTCAGGAATGCTGCTGCCTGTTCAGGTAAACTAACTGATTTCAGCTCCTGGTTCCCATAATGACGTCAAATCTGGCCTCGCTCTTAGGTAAGATTAAGAGGTTCCTTAGTTTCGTTAAATAACTTTTAGCTGATCCATTAATAGCTTAGAAAACATTAGGCTAATTTTCCTTTAATGCATATACATGAAGCTAATTGGCATATAGTGTCTGTCTGGCTCATTCTGTCCAATCAGTAGATTAAGAGCTTCTTTAGACTAATGGGTACTTGAACATGCATACTTATGCCTCCACACCGGCTGATTCAAAATCCTTGATGTTCATAATTGCAACCTATCGACTCAGAGTAAACCACTCATTACTACATACCAGCAGCTCTTAAGAATGAACATGAGGGAAAATTATCATCAGGGAGTGAAACAAGACGAAACAGCTATCTGCGATGACAGAAACAAAATGGAAGAGAAATATGGCTGATAGAGACAATAAGAATTTTCTGTCACCACCTCCATGCTGCAGTGAGCACAGTGATTATAAGTACACTGAATACTATTGAACAATATTCAGCAATGGATTTTCTGCACTCTCTAACCCCTGCAAGCTGGAGTATATTCCTTGATGCCTTATGCAAAGTGGCTGTTGAAAGGCCAGTACATTCTGCATATTTGTTTTTATATAAACACATAAATTTAATCAGATGAAGTTAAGGACATCTGTTTTATAAGTATCGTAAAATATTGCTTTAAACTCTCAATTATTTCAAATCTCCAATAGTGAATTACAGAGCTGATTTCAAACAAAGACTTCTTATACTTTTTCGTCATCACCATCAACTGTTGTTGAAAAACTGATGTTTTTGGCACTTTGTAAAATGTGGCCCGTTGCATTATGTTTGTTTGCAGTAAGTACATTTTATGCCATTACAGCCTTTTGGAGAGCATCGTATCTATAATCGTGCGCACTCAGAATGTGGATACTTAATAATATCAATGCCATCATCCATCCTGGAAAAACACTGTGCACTGTGTTGCTTTATATAGTAACTAATCTTGATGAATGGAGAGTTTTGAGTTTAAGAGGCTGAGCTTTCACATAAACACAGAGACTCACACAAATATAGTGTTTCCATTGCAGTTTATTTAGAAGGGTTTCTACTTCCTAACCACACCTTTCTATTCAAAGAAATTATCGACATATGATCACACCTGGTGCATAAAAGATGGGAGCTTTCCATCCGATCGGTTCTACAAAAAAAATCATTTCTTGAGGATTCATGTGCACACAAACCCCCCCCTCTGCTGGTCAAAACCTTTGTTGCCATTTCAACTATTTGTAAGCGTCAGCATGGGAATAATCACTGGCTAGAATAGAAATAAAAATAGCTTAATCTGATTTTCTTTTTATTATTAATGTGTGAGTAATGGTAACAGACGTCTATAGATGACAAAAAAAAAAAAACCCTTGTCAGTGTTTAAATAAATCCAACAGGATATGAGACGTTTATGTTAAAACTGTTGCAGTGTTTTCAAATGATGAGACAGTGATTGTACTTGTGAATACTGGTGTGATGGTAACTTCATTTTTATTGGGAAAGAATTTTTTTTTCCACTTTACTTTGCTCAGTTGGTTTCTATTTTTGATATCAACCTCTTCGCCTTTGGAGAAAACCCTGTCGTGGGGTACTGAAGAGGCACGAATCTACGAGTATCTCACAGCAACCCTGTAAAGGCTCCTATATATCCACTTATCCGCAATATATCAGGTGTTTTTGTACCTAAGTTGCTAGACACACAACAAAAACCACACCAGGGAATTAAAAACAAAACACAGACTTGAATATTATAGTAACATATTTCATTATTTACAGGATTACACTTTTTTGGGAGAGATCAGCTCAAAGAGTTGCCCTACCGGGGGAAACCCTCCTCCTTTGAGTACGCCCCAGGATGTCACAGGTGAAATTCAACTAACGCATAAATTTTGTAGGAATCCACTTTATAAACTTTACTTTTAAGACCATCTATCTTTTATATACAGTTTACATAACTATATCAGCTACCCATTACTAACTTAATAATAATAATTATAATAATTATAATAAAATACAAATGATTCCCAAATATAAGACTTCAACAGTGTAGTTCACAAGACAGTTTTCTTCACTTTATCTAATGTCAAATGGGGAGAGGCGGAGTACAACCTGCAGAGGTCACCAGTCACAGACAGACAACCATTCATGCTCACATTAACACCTACTAGGTAGAATATGAACTGAACAAGCTTTATTTTGGACTATAGGAGGAAGCCAGAGTGCCCAAACGTCACACAGCTAGCCCCCAAGCTCACCCATGGATTCAAATATACGACCTTCTTGGTTAAAGGCAACAGTGCTAACCACTGCACCACCCTCGCCAGTGAAATGCCATCCATCCATTCTCTTCAACTTATCCTTTTCAGGGTCAGCTGACTTAAGGAGAGAGGCAGGGTACACCCTGGGTAGGTCACCAGTCTAACACATAGAGACAGACAACCATTCACACTCACATTCACACCTATGGGCAATTTAGAATTACCAATTAACCTATCCCCATTAACTGCATATCTTTGGAATGTGGGAGGAAGCCAGAGTACCCAGAGAGAACCCACACAAACACGGGGAGAACATGCAAATTCCACACAGAAAGACCCTGGCCTGATGGTGGACTTGAACTCAGGACCTTCTTGCTGTGCAGCAACAGTGCTAACCATGAATTTCGATCAAATGTAATCATCAAAATACTGAAGAATCAATTCATGTGTTATAGTCTTTTTCCCACTACAGTAATCAGAGGTTTTAGATTTGTACTGTTTTGCCACTTTGACAAATTCTCTTAATTCCCTCTACCCAAAATCTAGGGCAAAAGAAATTGAAAACTCCATTTTATAAATGACCCAATGAATCCACATACGGCCCCAGTAGATTTTTCTACAGCTGAGTTTGTTTTGTTTTTTACCAATTACCTCAATACAGTCAGCATTGGAGCAGCACACTGATCTCAGCACGCAGCTGTACTGCTGATCTGTGGGCAGTGCAGTGCAAGAGCACCCCAGAAATGATGAGGAAAAGGATGGAGATAAGAAAAGGAACGTCTTATCAGCTACAGCAAGACTGCGCCACCTCCCCTATTTAACACATTTATCAAACATACGATCAACAGACAGAAAAGATTTTATTCCTATGTCATTAAGAGATGAAATGTTAACTGTGAAGGTAGTGCTGTCACAGTGGGTGTCTACCTCCAGCTTAATCATCCACATCTCTGAAATATTCTGAAATACTATCTTTTCCTGGCTGCATACATATGGGGCAGTCAAGGTAAAGTTAATGTTCCTTTACAGGAATTTTAATATCATGGTTGTGTTGTGTGGATGCACATGGATAGTTAGATTCTTATATCCCCTGATTGGCAAACTCTCATAACAGTATGTTTGCAGTGAGCAGACTGAATATAGCATGTGTTGTCGCTTCCCTTTTGTGCTCTGTTCAGCTCTAACCAAATTTCTCACTTAATCTTGGAAAGTTCAGATTAATGGTGTTCCACAGTGAGACAATTAGTGGCTAACATGTCCTGAGATGCAGAAAATACAGAGCTGCAAACACAGCTTCATGCGGTTATGCAGGAAAATGGATGTCTCAAATGTAAACCCACCCACACTTACACATAACACATATAAATGTGTTTCAAACTGAGCAATGCACATATCTTCACACACTCCTTCCTGCATACAGAGATAATTACCTACATAGAAATATTGATAGATACTTCACAGATTTATATATACAACACAACACACAAGGACAACAACACACATTTATCACTCACACAAACACCTACTCAAATAGAGCAGGGCTTTCTATGCATTCATTTTCATTCAGGATTATTATGCTGTGTGTGTTCCTACACAAGGTTGCTCATTAAGAGTGAATAAAGACTTAGAAATGAAGAAATATTTTCCCCCAAAGGCTATATTTTCAGTAACAGGAGTATACATGGAGACATAAAATGAATGCACAAAACATTTAGTAACAGCTTTGCTTTCCTTTTTTGACAATGGTTTGATCCAGAAGTCAAGGAAGGACACAACGACCAGGACAGGGAGCCCAGGGATCGAACCGGCGACCTTCCGGTTACAGATACGCTTCCCAACCCCTGAGCCACGGTTGCCCATATGCAAGCAAACGAGACAGCGAAGGAAAACAAATACTGTCAATAGTACTTTTACACCAACTAGTGAATGAAGTTTCTTATGTAATTTAAAACCTTTTTTCCCCCAAAGAGTCAGTAATATTTAACCAAACAAAAACAATGTGAAAGCACCTCTTTTTTTAACCACACCTATACGCCCTTAGAAATCAATAGTAGTCTGTTTTCATAATGATCGATATGTATGGATGTACTCTTCGCTTTCGTGGAATTTTGAAACAAACTGTACCGTGAATGGGCAGATTACATTAGACGGTCTCGGGTGTTTACGGGTGTTTTCCAATACCAAACACTTGGGGCACACTGATCATTTTTCGTGTATTCTGAAAGCAGAAGCAGTACAAACAGAAGCTTACCTGTCCAGAGCGATGGCAGTCATTGAATAGATGCTGGCAAACACAGCCGCGATCGGAAAGAAGTTGTGGAAGCGGCAGTAGGCGAGTCCAAAGTACCACTCGTTGTGCATCGCGTAGGTGAAGTTGATCACCGTGTTGAATGCAGACATGGACGCTTCGGCGAACGCGAGGTTCAGGAGAAAATAATTGGTGACAGTCCTCATGCGTTTGTGCGCCATAATAATCCAGATGACTGTGATGTTACCTACTACGGACACGATAACTATACAGCTGTAGGCAATGGCCCAGAGGACGATTTTCCAGACCGGCTGCACAAACTGATTCCTGTAAATGGTCCCGTTATTGGTACCATTGGAGCTGCTGGTCCAATTTGACGCATTGGTAGTACTGAATAAAGGATCCATTTTACTGTTTAGAAGCGAAAATGTCACTAAACCGGCGGAAATAACCCCAATTAATTACACGACTAAGTTAACGATTCCAAACGCAAGTGAATGTTGGAAAGTTTCCGAAAGCGTCACGCTCGTTTCTAAGTGTACAGTTGTAGTCTGCGGAGAGTCCGCTCTCCTACAAATAATAAAGTCAACGAGCCAGAAAAAGTATTTGAAGTCGAAACTTCCATATCAATCTTTGCACGTTTCCCCCTTTTTTTCCCTTTTTTTTTTTTGCTGTGCGCAAAAACAGAAAGGCGTCTTTTACGCGCACCAAAACGAGTCTGGCAATGGTAACAGCTCAGCTCCGTCTGTGTCTCTCTCCGTGTCTGTGTGCTGTCCTCCTGCTGCTCCTCTACTCTGACTGAGCGGCTGCACACCAGCTTTTGAAGAGAGCTTCTGCGCTCCCGTCCAACAGGCTGGCTGGGTAATTATGATTAGGCTGCGAGGGGATGCCAACTAGATTACTACGCCTAAATACTTCATTTAATGTTATTTTTACTATAATTCCTTCATGGACAGTTACAGTTATGATGTACAAAATAATAATATATCTTTTTTGGCATTGTTGGTGCAATTTAAAAATAAAAGACAGATACCACTTGTGAAAATATGTTACGTCATAATTACAATGTAAGATAAGGAAACATTGTTTGACTTCGTTTCAAATGCCCTCAAATTTATGCATTACATAAAAATTACTTAGTGCATAAGTTGTGTCTCTCTTAACACTCATGTATTTTTATGATATTGTTAAATTTATTACTTCTTGGTTCTGGGTTACATTAAGAAGGTGCTGCTAAAAATGACCTTTTCTGACTGTGGCTTGTAGTGTAGAATGATGGGTGCCATAATGAACACCCAGGTCCTCTCACTCACTAGCCCCTCTTGTGGTCTTGGATTCTGTACTGGAGTGGTTTGATTGAAGATTGATTGCTTCACAGGATATAAATGAAAAATCTGCAGTCCTGTCATTCTTTTCACAC